TTCTTCATCCAGAAGGGACGTTATAAATTTCCTACACTTTTTTACCTTTTTTTTTTTGCTGCCATTAACTTGACCATGGCGGTGTCCAACCAGAAAGCTCTTGCTACTATGGTCACTGCTCACATATGAATTTTATTCTTTACAGCTTTTAAATATCTTTTAATATTTTACTATTTTCATTACAATACCTTGTAAAATGTGTGTGAAAGCCCTTTATAGTGTAAATAACGAATTGAATTGTAGATATGCCATCATGTGGGAATGTTGGCAAGAGGACCCTGAATCCAGACCGACATTCCTGGAGTTAGGAAAAACTCTGCACAGACTAATGACTGCACAGAAGGTGAGTATCACTGAAGCAAGGAAACGATACAAGATGTATCGGTTTGACAGTCAAACTGAATGTTGTAAAACGATGAACAATTTAAAATGCTGACAGTCCCATCCCGAATAAACGTCTTGTCTCCAATAAGGAAGATGAACCAAATCCTACGCTGTGATTGGCTACCCGAGCGGGCGAGATGGCGCCATCAAATAAATCAAGACAAATGTTCTAGCAGACTTAAAACAATCCTGACAAACAAGAAAACAAGAAAAATTGTAAACAGAACTTGCAGTATAATTTAAAGTACCTTCATTTGATGAAGAACGTTTCGTTGTATCACTGAACCTGATTTGTTTCTCTGTTTTCAGATTTCTATTGATCTGAACAATTTTGATGTAAGCTACATTAATGCCCCTGAAGAGCAGTAGAATGCGCAAGACTGCAAAGTTCAAAGATTTCCACGATTATGGTAATTTATGTGTGGCATTTTTGTCACGCGCTCTAGCTAATAACGCGTGATGAGTCCGTGTTGAGCGTGCGTTGTCCTGACCGAAGTTGCTAAGCAACATACTGCACGCTTCTTGTGCCATGCTGACTTAACTGTTTAAGGGGTCCGAAATCAGAGACTTCTGGACTGCCAAATGTAGCGTTTGTTTCACCAACGATGAGTGATGTTCCAGACTATCCACCGGTTTTAAATTGCACAGGAACTGTCCTCATCCGCTCTTTCAGATCTGGTTATTAGCCGTTTTGGTGAATACTACAACAATTATCTACCTCAGTGGAGAAACAGTGACAGATATCCAATGATATGCGCTTTCACTTAGATATATTTTTGGAATTATTTATTATGTCGAAAAAGTGTAAAATGGATACAACTAAGGTACGTTAACAGATGTATTATTAGGAACATTGCTTAGTTTTCTACATTACGTCTCAAACGTTACCTAACCAGTGGCTCAATGAAAGAGATAAGTGTGTTTCTTTTAATTTATTGAGCTACATTGACCACGTAGAACCTGACGTAAGAAGGAACTCTCTAGTTCTGTCGATTTTTTCTTAATTTGAATAGTAACTACAACTTTTAGTATTTTTGAAGATTGTTATTCAAATATTTAACAGTGTTAGTGTAGCTGTTAATGTGAGCCTACTAGTTTGAACAAAAAAAAAATCAATTTAACAGTTTAGGATTAAAGATTAAATCACGATAGCTAATAAATATATAGGATAGTTTTTTGATAGTTTTTAGTATAATTCTGTACAGATAGTTAATTTAGTTACATTAGATAATTTTATTAGTTAAGTAAGCACGGCTTGATGGAAGAGCACGTCTGATGAGAATTGACACCGTGGATAAATAAAGAATACCTACCTAGGGGTAATTTTGTAATTTTAAGGTGAGATTATTGTATTACAGTTTTTTACATAGTTGTGTATAGTTTGACACCCTGTAAAATTTCGAGCTTGTTGTAGATTAATTTTTAGGCCATATTTTGTAGAGCAAAACTCAGAACGGCACACATTAAAAAAATCAAAAGTGATGTGACGTGTTCATTCGGGGCGCCCGTGGACTAGTTGTAGATTTGCCTAGTTCCTGTACGGCTTATTCCTAGGCCTTCACGGTCAATTGATTTCGGTGACCTTTCCCAGACGAACGACCCGGACCACGTGACCCGAAAACGGTTTGCCGTGGCGAAATTTGAGGCCCAGGAACTTGGGAAGTTGTAGAGGTATTTTCTTTGCGATGCGGCTGGGCTTATGTTCCACAAGTCGTGTTTGACACGGATACGGTTCCACAAGGCGTGTTTGACACGGATACGGTCAATTTTCGAGTTCCGGTTTTTAAATGATGAATTGAAAAAAATGAAAAATGAACTGTGGGTGAAAGAAAATAGAGATTTTCGTTGCTGATTCCAGCAGCCAAATTTATGAGAATGAAAAACCAAGGGCAATAACCAAAATGCTCATCTTAGATAACTCAGGCGGGCTTAAAAACGATGGAAAATAAAAAAAATGTGGGCAACAATATACGAAGACATACCGCAGGGGCGGGTGCATCAAAGGGAGGGGGGTGGGGGGCTGTTATCTTGGGGTTGCAGAATAATAGGGTATGCTCTTCCCAAATGTGGCGAATTTGCAATTGGAATCAATCGATGAGGTACCAGTCCAGAGTGTTTGCCTTTATTTCTTTTTTGACACAGTTGAACCCCGCTATTTCGAACTCTCAGTGGAAACGAAAAATAGTTCGAAATAGCGGGAGTTGGAAATAACTAATAGAAAACGACTGAGGGGCAAATCCAAAGGAAATGGTTTTGAGTTCGAAATAACGAGGAATTCGAAATAACCGAGTTCGAATTGGTGAGGTCCAACTGTATTTACGATTGTTTTCATTTCTTTTTTTTTTTTTTTAATTTTTTTGTCCCTCCAAAGAAGGGGTGGCTAGCCACCCAACCCAACCCAGCCCCCCTGAATCTGCCCCTGATGACCCTAAAGGAACGGAAATTGGTCGAGAGTGTGGAAGGGTGAGGCTATGACCAACAACGAACTTGAGAAATTTAGGGCCATATTTTTGAAGAAGGGACATCAGTAAAGAGGCTTCTTTAATTAAGATTGATTAAAGAGGAAATCACATGCAGCACTGTATTTGAGTGCCGGGTTTATTCAGAGAGAATTCAGAACTGAACTGATCATTAAATGCCAGGGAATAAGAGGACTCCAGTACAGTTGCGATATTGGTGACGCTGAAAGATTTTTTTATAGACCACAAATTTACGATATTATCTCATCGTCCATCCAGTCGAACTTATCGTCTTCAAAGGCCCTGAAATAACAAGTTTAATGGCTGAAATAAGTCGCTAGGTAGTCGTGTCTAGGGACTGCTAGATAGAATAAATGACCATCTTAATTACCTCCGTCATAACATTGATCTCGCTTAACCAAAAAACACTTAAAGATGTAACGGCGCGACAGAAGCTATTTCTCCAGGAAACCAAATACTGGTTTGTGCCAAATCTCTGGGAGAAAAATCGAAGTATTATGTAGCCACATTGAAAATTTTGCGCGCAACTTGATTTTACTCCAGAAATATGATATGCCTTAGTCCAGTTTAGTCGCTCCGGCCTTACTCACTTCAGGGAGTACCAAAGTGAAAAAGAAAGTAATTCCGAATTCCGTTTTGTGATATAGTTTCTTTAATAGTTCATCAAGTTTAAACAAAGGAAATCATGTCCGTGACGGTGTTTGGATATCTGATCTTGACTAGCATAGATTAGTTTAGTTTCGATTGAGAAGATATATCAAACACTTAAGACCGTGTTTGATCACATTCCCAAACACCGAGATGGGAGTTTGTATTTTTGACGAACTTCGAGGAGTTTGATAATGTGGTCAAACTCTTATAGACTTGTGTTAGAGCCACATAATAAAAATACGGGATGACTCTAGAAGTCAAAGGCGACTGATTTAGGGTTTATTTGCTACCTATTGCCTTCTTTAATCGTCATTTTCCCCATGCAACAAATGAATACAGCACGACAGAGGGGAACAGTCACAGAGAAATGAACTGAACACATTGATCGTAGAACTTACCTATTGTAGGACAAACTAGTTGTAGTGTCTCTTAGAAAAAGCGCGCCGTTCTCATCATTTATACATCGCTTCTGCTGTCCTGGTGGAATGGAGTAGCCATTTTTGTCAGAATGGCACCACGTGACACAAGCGTATGTTATTGTCATTATCGCAAGCAATCCTATGATGCCTAGCGCCACGCCTAGAGCTCTTCTGTTGGTGACTTGATATAGAAGCAACGATCTTTGATCAGATTCTGAAATCGAAAGAACATAGGATTCTTCGTTGTAAACGTTCTTGGCAGAAATTGAAAGAGATTTTGCAAAATCAGTTTCATAGATAAAATACACGATAGACCAGTCAAAGTTTACACCCCTAACTAACCGAGTTTGAGGTCCGTACTGTAAGTTGCGAACCGCACTTGGGCCATAAATCGAAGGGGGAAAACGAGGATCCGTATCTTACAGTACGAATCGAGAAAACGAGGTTAGGAATCGAAGATATTTATTATCTTTCTGCTGTGCGTATGACAGGTTCAGGAACGATTTCTATTCACGCGGAATGACTTCAAATTTCTGACGCACGCCGGAGCAAAACGAATTAATTTGAAATCGTTAATTCGTTATCACGTTTTAATACACAATTTTAGAAGTAAAAGAAAGTTTTAAACTTTTACTTGCTATAAAAGTTAAGAACACTTGGCAATTAATCAGGAAATATTTTGGCAACAAAAACAGCTTTATTAAATGTTAGCGGGCCGTTCAGTGAAATACCGCCCGCTAACTTAACCAATTACAGCGCGCGTAGTAACTGAGAGATGTAATGACAAGTGTTATCAGCTGAAAATCCCTATGGTTTGACAATCCTGTCAGCACAGCATTCGCAGCTTCCACAGAATACCCAGAGTCCCGCTCGATCCTCGTACCTGAAGAGTTGGAAGCCGCTGACCAGAATACGACTGCCCTGCTCTCAGATTGTTTGTCTTTGTTGTGGAGTGTTATGTTCAGGATGTACACACTGTTAGGCTGTAGATGTTCAAACTTGTAAAGCACGTGCTCCTGTGATATGTTGTTAATTTGATGGCTCCATTCACTGGAATTCAACAACCTGAGTTTGAGGCTGACGACGCGAGCGGCAGAAAAGACGCCATGAGCTGTAAGACGCCAAATGACCTGCACGGACAGGAATGACTTGTTTTGAGCTGACACGCTGGACAACAGAGGATTTGGCTCGGCTGTGGATAGAAGAAACAAAAGAATGGAAAAATTCTTCGGTATTTTGATCAATTTGCCCATTTTTTTTAAACATCATCTGAAATTCTCCATGGTTTGAGAATTTGGGCAACCCTTCACGCACGACGGACTAAGCGAAAGAGGGACTACGCTTACTGCTAGCTACGAAATCGTGATTTCAGCACCTTACCTCCTCTAAACGTTAGTTCTAAGAAATTGTTGTCGTTTTAAGTTGGTGAATTTCCTGTCACCTGTTTTCTCCACGATGCAAAAATTGCACATTTGTAGGGGTAGATAACATGTGGTTCTTAGTTGACTAGGTTTGTGCATTGCTCAGAACGCAGCCCAGTCATTAGGTATTTTCTCCTCAGAGGAATCTGAACTCTAATGAGACCATCAAAAACACGAATTAACAAATTGACGTCAGTTTTTCATGCGTCTGTCCTGTTATTGATCATGAATTTCGTCATAACATTGTCACAGTAGCTGTTGACTACTTTGACAATGTTATGACGAAATTCATTGTCAATAACAGGACAGACGCATGAAAAACTGACGTCAATTTTTTTTTTACGATAACAAATTGTCAAATTGTCCTCCCTCGCTAGCTGACGCATCGCATATATTATAAATTCAAGGGTCTGTCCGCTTATTGACAATAAAAATTAACCACTGAGCGCGCGAGAATTTCTGCAGTTATCGTAAAAAAAGCTTTAGGTCTAGGCTAGTCAGGCTAGCATGTTCGTGATGAATATAGCCGCTGGTATGCACCTGAGATGAGCGTAGCCAAAGGGCTTCTAATGGCATTCATCCTCGCTCCCAGGGCTTTTCCT